TGAGGCACTGGCTCCAATAAATCTTACTCTCATCTCCTCATGCTCCAGCCCCCTATAACTGCACTCCTCTGGGCACTAATGAGGCCTCCACACACACACACATTGCAGCATTCACAAGCCACCTGGTACCTTGAGGTATGTAGAAAAAACATTTAAAGCTGTGTCTATGTTTGAATCATTGACTCTCCAAATCGAATTGGAACCCTTCCAATCAATTCAGAGAGAGATTAAAGGGTCTCCTTATTTGATTCAGATTTGGAGATTCAGCTGCCGAATCAGGCCAAATCTCTGCTGAATCAAATCAGCAACTGAAGCTTCACACAGCGCTGGTAGTCAGCATCCACATCCTGAAAATTTCCTGGAGCCCTTCACCTGTAGCTTTTCCAAACCCGAGTAAGTCACATTTTCTTAGTATGAGGTTTAGATCACCGTTGTAATACTTCACATCCTGCGCTTGCCTTAGGGTCAAATTGATTTGGCCATAAGAATTACTTCCAAAGCTGCAAAATTAATGAAGGTGGAAGTGCTGCACCTTGAATTGCCCATAATTTGGTGATGGAGAAAGTGAGATGTGCGCATTCACTGACCTTTATCTGCTGTAATTATAGCCATGGAAAATATTCAGGCTGAAAGATCCTGACACACACAGCCTGTGGGTAAAATCATGACTCTGGGAGCTTCTGGAGCCTTGTTTTTTTCCTTGCTTGCGTTCTCTGTATCACAAAAGCTTCTGCCCCAGGCCAAAACACTACCAATAGGTCAGGATCTTTGATCCTCAGCACACACAAAGCAGAAGAAGGATTTATTTGGCTTTTACCAACCTGAGCAATTTTGTTAGCTCTTCCATATTGTTATAATTCAATTGCAATAATTAAAGAAAGAGCTTCCAGAGGAAGGCAGCATAGGAAACAGCACTCAGGCTTGCCACAATGCTAAAGAACTGCAGCTTCTGATGTATGCTTCACAGGGTGGGGGACCTTTATTTGTCTTTTAGGTTTTTTTAAAGACAGCCCAACATGGGTTGCTTATTATATCATTGATTTTTTACTGGAGAAAACAGCCCTCTGTTCAAAACTTAGAACTGGATGTGTACTTGGAAAAGCAACACAAAGCCCAATATATTCAACCCTTTGAACAAACTGCTGGTTAAAGAAATGGAGAAATGCCCTCAGATAAGTGTGCGTGTGTGTGGCTCTTCAGTAGTATAGTGTGTGTAGTTAGATATGATTATAATACATCTAGATGCGTGTGTATTTGCATGTGTGAATTTATATGCATTTCTGCAGTATCCTAAAGATCTCTAGCAGCTAACTGAAGCTAAAAAAAACAAGAGCAACAATGAGGACTACTAAACTAATATGGTGTTACTATACGCTGTTTGCCCCATAATTGGGATGACCATCTGTTCTGCTTTAGCTGGGATAGTCCCAGATTACATAAACTGGTCCCAGCTCGCTGTTGGGAGTTATAATGGGCATCCTGGAAATGCAGGGGTGCTGGGCATAGTCTGGCCAGGAGTTGGACTGGTGTGGAGCACCTTGCAGCCCCACACCCACCGATTTGTGGGAGTGCGGGGCAGAGGAAGGGGCAGTGTCCTGGATTTCCCAGATGATGTTCAAGATACTTGGAATTTCCATACGGTCAGCCTAACCATAATCCATGTACAGGGCGCAAAGAGTACAACATGAAAAGCTCCTAGACAGGAAGATAAAACTTTGTCTGGGTGAATGCTTTTATTTATCCCCTCCTCTAAGTCTTTCTTCTTTTACATGTGATTTTTGACCTGCACTTTGCAGAACAAGTGATAAGTGTTTTGTGACCCCACAACCTGATTCCTGGGGGTTGCTAGAACAAAAGAGGTACCTGCTGCTACCAGACTGATTGCTGCCACAGGCACTATCTAAGCCACTGCTGCTGCCTACAGTACAGAAATTGCTTGTTACATGTCTGCTTCACATTCAGCTAGTAGTTGTTAGTAAGCTTCAGGTTATTAGCAAGCATGCGTATCCCTAGTTCAGCTTAGCTGACTTTAAGCAAGAAGTAGGATTATATATTAAAAAGGAAGAAGAAAAAACCATGGAGGCAGCTGGGTCTTTGAGGCATGCTGTTTACAAACTAGGGATTGGAGCCTGTAAATCTCTACTTCTTGGAGTTCTGGTGGCTTTGGTGTCATCCTAATTGTGATTGTAAGATGAAGAGTAATTTCAATTAAATAGCAGCCGACCCTAACTCCTCTAGTAATGGCTAGTTTATCCCAACTTGGACTTCTCCTGGTTGAATATCCTATAGGAATCAATGCTGACCGTTCTACAGGAGCCCTATAAAGAGCAGCTTAACTATGCTGGTGGGTGCCTTGGGTAGCTGCCACATGCAGGGCAGTAGTGACTTCCAGTTGCCTCTGTTGCTGCAATTGCAATCACACAGCTGTGGCAAAAGAGGTTTCTCTCGCCACCTTATTCTGGTTGGTGCCCAGGATGGCCGACCCTGTTGCCTTACCCTAGTTGCACCACTGCCTGTGAACCATTATGCAAAATGAACGATGTCATCACATCAAAATCTTGCCAGTGTAAAAAGAAGTGGGTTTCCATACGATTACCAAAATAGCAATAAATGAAAAAAAATCCATAAATTATTGATCAAACAGTGTTATTCTTTAGGTTTTTAACAGCTTGTTAAACAGTTGTTTGAATCTGTACATGTTTTAGACTTCTAATTTAAGAGTACATGTCATTTACAAAGCAGTGCAAATCTCAGCAGTCTTGGCAAGTAGTGTTGAACATTGACATTTACAGAGAGGGTAAAATGAAGGATGAAATTGTTCACAGCCATTGTGCATACTGATTTGAAAACTCATTTTACACGTCAGCTCAATATAGTTTACGTAGTAATAAAGCAATAAGTAAATTAAAAGCATATTCAGAAGTGTCATGTACTTTTTGTAGAGAGATTTTGTCTTTGAGTTGCTTCATATCTTCTTGTATATTGTTCTCTGTGCAAATGCAGTTCCAATAAGGCACTGATTCAGTTAAGGCAAAGTACCATCATTAATGCAAAAGGAGTTTGATATTTGTTAAGGGCATTTGAGTTAAAATTTCAGTGTTTTCTTCAGTATCCTAAGGAAAGCACCTCAGTATTTCCTGTCATCTGGTGTATTTCAGTTGTTATAACTACTCTTCCAATTGTGATGAGAAGCTGGAATGACATTATACATATCACAGCCCTTTAATATTAACCAGCACTGAGCCAAATTTAGTACTCTGGTAAGTAGACTTAACAGTTCCTACTTACTTCACTAGGAATTACACTTTTCTACACCAGAGATGAATTTGATCCATTGTGTGTCTAGACCTTTATATACACCTTTGAGAGGCTCTCCTGAGCATTTTGAGGCCCTACAGCTATGTAATTATCTACTTAGGAACTCTGCTCAATGGTAATAATGATAACACTCAAAATGCAGCAACATCAGTTTTATAGCAACTGTGATGTGATAGCCTAATGTTGTATGTATAACAGTGAGAACATATCTAAGTTTATGAATGAGCTCATTCCATCTAAGTCTGTCAGTTTTGTCTTTAGCCTTTTGGATTTTAAAAACTATGTGTTGATTTCCAAATTAGAAAAATATTGATTTAAAAATTAGATGATTAACTGGCCTTTTGCCAAACATTATGCTTTATTTAGCAACTACAAAAGCATCAGCAGGTATTATGATTTCTATCCTGAAAGAAGCATTGAGTGTAGAAAATAATGTTGGCATGACAGAAGCCCATCTGAGTTTTCTGACCAAACCATAAATAGTAAAAAATGTTTTTGGTGAACATTTAAAAACTCAAAGCACTCTATCTGTAAAGTATCACATTTAGGTATGAGATTCCTTACAATTCAAAATTGCAGTGCTGGTTTTCTTTGCAAATTACAGGTGTTAATGGTGCTATTCTAGCACAGCCCTAGAGACTAGGTAATCCTGTGTGCAGCCACACGACTGGCACAAGCTGGACAACAGCAATGCAAATTTCTCCATAACGTTTATGTGTGCTCAGGTCACTGCATTTCAGTCGGTATCAGGAGGGATCAGGGAAATGTGCTGCACTTCATTTCATTCTAGGGGTTTCCCTAGCATCTGCCAAGAATAATGCCCATTTTGTGGTGGGTTCTGGCCCGTGAACACCTGTGCACTGACAGCTGTATGGAGATCGATAGGTATTTTCACAAGAACCAGTGAAATGCTGTTGGAGGGCAATGACTTTCACTATGTTAGATTCAAGCCAGCAGTGCCAGAGGGTGTGGGAATGAAAAATGAAATAGGCTCTCAAATCTTGATCCCCAATTTAATGTTCCCTAAGTAGGGATAGAAACCTGGGAGCGAACAGAACAATGGAAAAATCCTTTTAAATGATTTTCCTTTACTCATTCATAGAGGTTCTGCACTGAACTGAGATCTCAAAATCCTGTTTCATAGAAAATATGTGGGTAGTATGTGGGTGTGGGTGTCATCCTCAGAATGCATAACACTGTGTTTCCAAAAGGTCAGTTTAATCAGCTCCTTAATTCTTCTAAACCACCTCCTCTGAATCATTTCATACTTGTTCAGAGATTCCTGCATAAATTTCATTTATGCTTCATTATGGCTACTAATTATATTTTTTAAGTTTTATTTTTCTCAGACTTTGCATTTCCAGTTATACTTGTAGCTACAATTCTAGTTTTGTTCTCATTTGCTTTTTAAGATACTCTGTACCTATTCTTCAGAATTAACACGGTCTGTGGTGAAGGAATAAACAGTAATTGGTTCAAATTAATCCTGACTTTAAATGACTCCCTGTGTAATAGAAGAAGGAGTAGCACATTTAGGGGGCAATGCTTCCTGGTCATGAATCCCAAAAAGGTTACAAAAGTTACAAATTAATCTTGAGTATGTAACCCGGGTGGTACTCCAAGAAATACCCCCTCTCCAGTTTAAGGGATCAAAGCAGGTGCACAAGCATTGTGGAAGGTGTAGGGACTCTCCTCTCCCTGTAGAGCAGAGCCAGACCACCAATGGGGACTTAACCATATACCTTTTAATACTGGGAACATAACAGGCATAAACCAGAGGGTATAGTGGACACTACAA